TGCACAGGGAATGGGAAAAAAATAAGAACCAAGATACATCATGTACAGGTACAAGCACCCAATGATAAATGTAAACGTATTGTATACCTAAAATGTACCAATAAAAGAACTTAAGGGAAAAAAAAAGAAACGGGAGGTGGGGTGGGGTGGGGAGGCTGTAGCTCAGTGTGAAGGCCCTAGATTTGACCCCTAGTACTACAACACAAAATAGCAGTATATTAAATATATAGAAAATGTATCTGTAAAAATATAACTATTTCCAGTTCTAAGCTGAAAGATAAAACTGCTTTAGTGCTTGCCAAGGAATTCCTAAGTTTGAACATGGTATCCACTTGCTGTCTGTAACAGGTTCCCTAATCCAGGGATGAACAGTGAAACAACATACTGCTTCAATTCTGCTTGCCTTTGGAATATATTTTTATAGCTGCATTTGACTGTTTAAAATAATGTTCTATTAATTTACCAAGAAGTCACACCATGAAAGCCTGCCTTTTTAGACAAATGGCTTTTCAGGTTTCTGCAAAAGCTAATATTTAAAGGTCTTTTGTTTTTTCTTTGAGACAGGGTCTCCCTATGTAGCCCAAGCTGGCCTTGAACTTGCAGAGATCCTCCTGAGTACTGGGATTACAAGTGTGTGCCACCACACCCAGCTCAAAATTCCTCCTTCTGTACACACTGGATATGTGGCTTTCATCCTTAACATATGCATTAGCTCTTTTTGTTTTGCAGTTTTGATGCTGGGAATTGAAGCCTCAGCCTCTAACACTGAGCTACCCGCCTGTCTTGATGGGTTAGCTTTTTTTTTTGAGGCAAGGTCTCCCTTTGTAGTTTAGGCTGGCCCTGAACTCACTATGTAGCCCAGGCTGGCCTCAAACTATCGGCAATCCTCCTGCCTCAGCTGCCTGAGTGCTGGGATTAAATGCGTGCGCCATCATGCCCAGCTCAGAATTAGCTTTTTAAAATGCCTGTCTTGTACTGAATTGTGAGAACTTATGAAGTGTCTTTTACTGTCAGTATGACCATGAAGCAATGATAGCTGTAGATGTTGACTTTCGAAAGTCACTCGACTTTTGTATTTTAATCACCAAAAACAAATATGAAGACAGTGGAGGTACACTATAGGCAAATTCTTATTACTAAGGAAGGGGTACTCCCTTAAGTAAAAAGGTAACATAGAATTTAATTAGCTGGCTTCCTCCCAACTTTCTCTTCTGAACAAGAGCCTACATGACCCTCAAGCAGTCTTATATGAGGAAAAATGACTGTGTTGTTGGAAAGTGTCCCAGTTCTGAAAGATGTATTCCTTCCCATTTACAGATTTGTAAGGCACTTGGACGAGGTCAAGACCTAGTCAGCTACAGCCTGGGTAAAGATAAAGACTGTGATGAAATGAGGCAGTAACTTGTAAGCCCCTATTGGTTCTCCTAGGAGGGCTGATTAAATATTCTCACATTTTTGAAAGGCAGTCCAAATATTTCCTTGAAAGAAACATTTATTTATGATCTTTATTGGTTAAACAGCATCATACAAATCCAGAACAGGTTTTCACATTTTGAGCCTTTAGTAAAGACTATGCCATGCGGGAAATAAAATACTTATCCAGTGAAGTTCTCCCCTGATGCGTTTAAGTATTAGGATGATCAGGCAGAAGATGACTTAAGTGACAGATATCTGTTCATAAATCTGCTTGAAGAAGAACATGAGTTTACAACTCATATAAAGGTTTTTCACAACATAAATGCACTTAAACTTACAGTTTCAAAACAAAACACCCTAAGAACCATGTATCTCTTTAAATAAAAAAAATAATTTACTCTTTTTAAAAGAATTCCAACAATTTAAAATAAGTTCCAATCCCGTGTGCGTGTGTGTGTGTGTGTGTGTGTGTGTCTGTATGTACATTTATAACTTAGGTGCTCTTTTGCACTATATGATTTTATTCATGCAACAGTGGAGAGACTGGGCTTGAGGCTCTACAGAGGCCTTTCTGAGAAAGCAGTGTAGCTCCTCACTCTGGCGAAGAACAAGGGGGTATACATCTTGTCAATCTCAAAAGCACTGACTGCTGTCTCACCAGTTGATCTGTAAAGAAAGCACCAAATTACAAGAAAATTTCAACACCTTGTGTGTTTGTTGAAGGCCATTTATTTTATGCATTAGCCTTTTACTTTTAATTCATCTCAGTAAATTCTAAATAATGTAGAACACTTGAAACATTCAGAGAAGTATTTAAAAAGTCACTCTTCATTCTACCATGAAGGACTTTCTTGTTTTTCTTCCATTAACTCAATCTCTCTCAACCTCTCTGTGCAGAGATCAGACTCTACTGGAAATCCTGCTTCTTTTCCTTGAAAATTCTGACATTAAGCATTTCCTGTACAGAACCATTTTTATGACTACATACTGTTACACTCTCTGCTTATAGTACTATTTACTTCATATATCCCCTCTGGGAGATTTACTTTTACAATATTTAGCTATTAAAAAAATACGATATTTTTGGTTATGTTCTTCAAGTATATTCCCAAGAGAATTTCTAAGATAAAGGATACAGACAATTTAAAACTCTGTTTAAAATTTATTATTTACTGTTAATGAACAGCAAAATCATAGGCAGGTGAGGGGGAATCAGGTGATGAAATATGCTTTTATTACTCTTCTCCCACTAAAAAGAAAAATAAGCAAAAGCAGGAAATTCTACAGACTTTACACATATTACAAGAAGTCAATGTGATCACTAGCAGCTCCAATCACATGAATGAGGCCTGAGTATCACACTGTGTGGTTGTGCTTTTGTAACATGTTAAGTATGGGAATTCAAAACAGATGAGAGTTTCTCTAACTGGGTATGAAGTATATATCTACACTGATCTTGGTCATTTTTTATTTCGTTCACCCACTTGTAAGAAATGTGACAAGAATGATGGATCCAAATAAGTTTGTTGAATCTCTGGTGGCCACTGGAACACAGCTGTAGTCCCACATGAAAACTATGCTCTGCTTCTTGTACAGGTACACGACGAAAATATCTGTATTTGTAATCAAGTGGTTTCTGTAAAAGAAAAGGTGCACAAGAGCCATTATGAAACTTACATTATATATTCCCAGGAACATTATTTAACAGTGACACTAAAAGTAACATAGTATTTGTATACAGGAAAGACTTGTCTTAGATATCACACGAAAGTGAGTCTTTTTTTTGGTACTGGGGATCAAACTCAGGACCTTGCACTTGTGAGGCAGGTGGCAAAACCACTGAGCTAAATACCCAGCCTGAAAATTAGTGTCTTGAAAATTTTTAAGTACTCTAAAAAGACCCTGTTTCTTCCCATCATCACAGTAACTCCATGTGTGAAATGACTGCATATTTCTATATAATGGCCCAAAAATCAAAGATCTAGGGTGGTCAAACAAGTTAACCAAAGTTATACAGCAGTTGTAAAACTTCTATTTCTTTCTACTAGTAAAGAGTTGGGAATTTTTTGAGAGATAAAGTGATAAACTGATGCAGACTACAGAAAAAGAGTGCAACTTACCTTTTGCAAATACTGTTGCTAAAAATCACAAAAATGTATAAACAACTCAAATGCTTTCATTACAGGAGCCAGAGATTTAGCTCAGTGGTGCCATCCCCTGCCTCTCAAGCACAAGGTCCCAAGTTTGATCCCCGGTACAAAAAAGAAAAAAAAATCCAAATGGTTTCATTACAAAAGAAAAGAAACCAACAGTCCGCACGGGTGTTCCTAAACACTTTCATTAGACAAAAGCAACCAGGAGCTCACAAGTACCACTTTTCACCTTAGGAAATGCACGGTCACAGCCTACACACCTACCTCTGTCCCTCAGACTGCTGCCCTACATTCCACAGGGAGGCAGAGAAGCCAGTGGTAGGTGGTCAGAAGGTGGTAAGAATAAGATGAAGCCTTGCCCTCACAATGCTACAGAACGAGGGGGAGTGAAGATGAAAATTTCTTTCAAAAGCTCTACTACTTTAAAGGCAACAGGCTAATATTTATTCCAACTCCTTCATAACTGATATCCTATGTTTTTTAATCAAGATTTAAAAAATGCATATGGAGAAATTTGTGAAAAAACTAGGCTTTCAACCAGTTCAGGGAGTTTAAAGTACTCTAGAATATAATAAATACCAGTAATTATGTTTGCTTGCCCCTTCCCCCTCCCCCTTCCCTTGGCAAAAACAGGAAGAAAGCAAGCTCATTTCTAGTAGAAACTGAAATTCTGTCTAAAAAACTGATTTAGATGGGGCTACTTTCACTTTAGGAAGGAAAAACCACCATCATTCAAAATGAGAAGAGCCAGGGCCGGGGATTTAGCTCAGTGGTTCCACCGCCTGTCTCGCAAGCGCAAGGACCCGAGTTCTATCCCTGGTACCAAAAATAAAATAAAATAAAATAAAATAAAAACAGATAGGTTGATATTTAAAAAAAACAAAATGAGAAGAGCCAAAAATATATTTAGGTGTAATTTTGCTAGTTATTTCAAGGGAGATTTTGTCTTACCTTTTATGAGTAAAAATACTGGGCTAAAAAAAGGAAAACTATCTAGAAAAAACTACCTGATCCAATGAAAAATAACATCTTAAAAATCCCAGTTTTCTTCAGAGATATGTATAATAATGAAATAGTGTTTTATTCTAATTGAAAATGCTTGAAACATTATTGAAATAATAAAACTGTCAAGTCCACCTTATATACTCACTTCTTCTTTCTTCTTAGTTATTACAGCAAATACTTTGGTCTGATTGTCTGTATCTTGTGACAAGCGATAATGACCCAGTAGAATTGCATCAGTTCTAAAAAATAAATACATTTTGTACTAATCAGTTATTATGTGTATTTAAGTGATCCATGAAATTATGAACTAGGAAGTTATGACTGCTTTTATAATCATGCAGAACTGAGTTAACCTGGAAATGGAGACTGGTCAGAAAAGTACAGAAAATACTACCTGGTATTCTTAGTTCTTAAGCGCGGAACAATGGACTGAGGCTCCTCAGGGGTTGTCATCATCATCACATAGCCATCGGGAAAGAACCTTATGTACCTATGTAAAAAGATAAAGAAACCAAAACACACCACACACACATAAAGTATAAAACACACTCTAACTTATCAGTACTCAAACCTATTCATAGCTGTGAAAAGGAAACTGAAATACCATGGGCCAAAACAATATCATTAAAGAAACATAACTGACAATCTTTAGCCTAGCAACAAGGCACTAAAGGCATTTTATTATGTTTCTTAGTGGGAACATTTAATTTAACTTACATTACATAAAAATTAGATATTACACTTTCATTAAAGTTCTAAGTTTTCCTAAAGCCCTAATTCATGTCAAACAAAAGTGAGATCCAATAGTTTAACACACAGTGGTTAATATGAGTCTACTTATTTCTCAATGATAATACAGTAAGTCCCTGACTTACGAATGAGTTCCATTCAAGGAGAAAGCTGGTAAGTCAGATTCGTTCATAATCTAATACAATGAGTCTTATGTAGTACACCTGTGAATCTTATACAGTATACCTGTGAAAGTTCGTAACTCGAATATTCGTAAGTCAGGGAATTACTGTACTATTTGGTGAACACTAAAGCTGGATAAAAAGCACAAGTTATTTTAAAAGGCAAATGTATATACCTGTAACAAAAGGAAAGCTCTGAAATATAAGCTAACAGAAAATGACTTTTATTATCTTCTGTTTGAGTGCAGTTCCTATGTCATAATACTGGAGAAAAATATTGAAGGTCATTTTGTGGATACATCAAAAGCAACAGACTAAATAACTAGCGTGCTAATACTTGGAGAGAGAGAATTTTCCACTCACTCAGTGTACTACAGTTGTACCTGTAATATTCCACTTGGTGCCAGGCTCTGTAGAAACCATCAAGAGACTGTTCCCCTTGACGAATATATGTGGTTTTACTGATATACACTCCTATAAAAATTTTTAAGAAAATAAAACTTTAAAAGTTATAGTCATATAACACATGTCCAGCTTTATTTTTGTCATGGTTTCCTTTAAAGAAGCTCATAGTTCTTAGGTCAATTATAGGAAATTCATAGGTCATTGTTTCTTCTGAGTTCTAGAATCCAACTTACCATCAAATCGAACACGAGGCCGTTGTAAAAACATCTCTCTCCAGGATGAGTATGGAACAAGTTTAACACAGCTTCTACCCCACACTTTCAAGCAGGCCAGACGCCATATTTCAGGGTCTCTAGATAAAAAAGCGTAACATCAATGAATTTAAAAAGCTGAGTCCCTACAGGCTGACATAATGTCACCCTTTATTCAACAAGTATTTGTCAAGCACCTGCAAGGCACCATTACAATTGCTACAGAGACACTGACCGACAAGGCAAAGTCCCTGCTCTTTTAGCAGTGGGAAAGTGAAAGTCCCAAGTAGTATTCTCAGGGCAAAACTCACGCAGGAGAGAGTAAAGCATACAAACAGGAATGACAGTGTTGAGACAGGGAAATACCTCTGGGAAGGAGACTGAAGTAATGGGAGGAGCATCCTGGGCAGCAGCCACAGCAGGGGTAAGGCTCTGGGGTGGAAGTATGACTGGGGAGCTCAGCAAAGACCAGAAGGGGAAATGCAGCAAAGGAAACAAGGTGCAAATGGACTTCATGATCTGAGAGTAGAAGGGGCAGATGAGGTAGGGTCTTACAAAAGGGAGTGGCTATTTATACAACCGCCCAAGCCACTGTGAGCACAGTTTATGCTTTGAAAAGAACACACAGAGGGCTGAGCAAGATGGCAGAATAGGACTCAAAGAAATTTAACAGAGAAATTGAAACGAAAAAAAAAATCAATCAGAAACCCTAGAGCTGAAAAATACAATGAATTAAATGATGAAATGTAACAGAGAGTATCAACAACAGACCCAAAAAAGCAGAAGAATCTGTGAACTTGAAGGCAGGTTATTTGAAAACATACAATCAGAGGAGAAAAAATAATGAAAGAAATGAAGATTATAGAACTGACGGGACAGCACCAAAAGAACAAATGTACTAGTCAGTGGCAGTCTAGAATAGAGAATGATAAAGAGGTAAAAGTTTATTTAACACATTCATGAAGGGACCGTAATTATGTTTTGTTTCCTGGTGGCTCTCATTTGAATTTGATCACTCCTGCCAGTCTGAACCACCAGTGGTACAAGTATTATTGTCCTAGGGGGCCTTTGATTACAACGATGCAAAGAAAAGGCATTGAGTTAGCATACCAGATGTCATGATGTTATAGTTCTTTAAGGAAAGTATTAAAATGGTATAAAAAATGTAATACAGCTAATTTGAGGTACAGCAGTTGTAAATGTGTATTATATTCACCAGCAATGGGGTACTTGTAAAGTTTCCATGTTAAAATTTACAGAATTAATTACTGAGAAAGTATTCATGAATACAAATTTTTTAATGTAATGATATAAATTTGTTGGTCATAAAATTTTTTAAAAATGGTATGAATAGTATTAATATTTTTATATGGACAGTGATTATTCAAATTCAAGCAACTAAGCAGATTTGGTCCATTTATAGACTTTTCATTAATTTTACTAGTAAAAATACCAATAAGAGTGATTAAATCTGTTTATACCACCAGTGGTACAAACTGCCTGATGAGACAGTCATGTAGGTAGTACTGGTGGTTACATGTTAAAGAAATAACAGCAGAAAACTTTCCAGACCCAAAGATACAAATATCCACATACAGGAAAGGCAAGGGGGAGACAGACAGACAGACAAAGTAACATATAAGAAAAGTTCCAGTGTGCCTAGCAGCAGGTTTCTTGGCAGAAACCTTTAAGGCCTAGAGAGAATGGGATGATATATTGCAACTGCTGAAAGAAAGCTGCCAGCCTGAGAAGAAGGATCCAAGATAGCTGAATAAAAGTGACACAGAGAAGAGGCAACAAAGGAAAACGTGGAGGCCCCTGAAAATGAACAAAAGAGTGAGGAGAACCCTAAACATCATGGAGTCAACCTACAGAACAACAATTTCAACTCTGGCTTCCGGGCTGGGGAGGATTTCCACACTGCCAGGAAAAGGTAATAAGCAGCCAAGTACCATCAACTGCTGTCATAGCAGTAGACTATGGGTCCTCACTGCAGAATTCCACAATTCTCAGAGGCTGTATACTCAGTCTGGGGAGCTGGTTGATCTACAAGTGACTGCCCAGCTACAAAGAAGGAACTGATATTGGGGCTCCCCCAAGCCCCAGATTCCCAGTTTCTACAAAGCCATAGCTAGGATCCCATCCTGCCTTTGGGGCCAGCAGCTGGCCCCCAATGCTGCCAACAGCTTTGGGCCTCACAGGACGGAGGACGGCCCCTTCATCACCCTACAGCTTCAGGACCAGTGCAGCCACAAGCCCAGATCACAATCATGTTTGCCCCATGGCAACTACAGAAGGCTCCTCCCCAGCCCAGGGTCTTGGCACTGCAGCAGCTCGGGCAAAGTCTCAGCGTCAACTGTTCCTGTCCATCAGGAGCTGGGGAAGGTCCCAAGCTGCTTCCTGCAGCTCCAGTAACCCAATTTCCCGCGTCTCCCATGGTCATCCCTCAAGAACGGGGAAGGGAAAAAGAAAAAGAAAAAAAAAAAAAACAAAGAATGGGGAAGGGTCCTGCTCTAAGTCTAGATCTAGAATGTCCCCCAAAGGCCAATGTGTTATCTTGGTCATCAGCCTGTGGTATGCCTGGGATGAGGTGGAGCCTAATGGAAGAAGTTAGGCAACACTGGGCATGCCCCGGAAGGGATACTGGGGTGCCAGTCTCTTCCTCCCTTTGCTTCTCAGTTGCTCTGCTACAGAAACAAAAGCAATAGAGCAATGACCATGGACTTAAACTTCTGAAATGGTGAGTCAAAATAAAACTTGCCCTTGGTATTTATGATATTCTGTCACAGTGATGGAAAGCTGACTAACATAGATCATATCCATGCCTGCAGCTCCAGAAACACAAGTATCAAGAGTTCCAACCTTAGCAATGCCTGTACTCATCTAGTGGGAATTGGAGACATTCTCTTCCCAGCCTACAACCCTGGGACTACAGGGGCTGGTGCACAAGTCCAGCTTCAGCCACCCGTATTCTGCTGCACCTATCCCACAGATCCCAGAAAAGCGGCAATCTGAGTCTTCCAGGAATGCAGGTATTAGTGTTCCAAACTGGGCACCAACTGCACTTGCCCCATGAGAACTAGGGAAGGTCTCCTTCCCAGTCCACAGCCTTGAGACTGCAGCTGCTGATGCAAAAAGCCCCATATCACCCAAGCTTGTCCCTTGGGAGCAAAGGAAGGTTCTGTGTCCTGCAGCTCCAGGGGTATGGACACCAATGGCCAAGTCTCAGTCCCACCAATGCTTCCCCCACCTGACCTAGGGAAAATCCACATCCTGCAGTTCCAGGACAGCAGATCTCAAAGCCACAAGTCCCAGTGTCATTCAAGCTTGATCCATGGGCTTTAGGGAAGGTTTCACATCCTACACCCTCAGAAGCACAGATGCCAGCATCATAAGCCCAAATGTTACCTGCACACACTCTGTGAGATCCAGCTCACAGTCATGGGATAATAGCTTCTGTTGGTGTCCAATTTCCTGGTATCATTTATGCTCAGGATCTGGTGAAGGTAACACCCAGACTCTACAGCTCCAGGTTAGTGGATTCCAGGGCTACAAGGCCCAGAACCACCCACAATCACCCCACCCATGGGAAGTAGCAAAGGTCCCCCGTGCATCCCCAAATCTCAGGTCTGTCATTACTCATGCCACAAACCCCAGTATTACCTGTACTTATCCTGTAGGAGCTGGGGAAAGCCCTATCCCATCCTGTGGCTCCTGATGTTACAGGGATAGCCATCTCCTATATTCATCCTAAGGGTGCTTGGAAGGTCTCCTTCACATTCTATGACTTGAGGACCCTAACTGCTAGTGCCACAACCCTTGGTGTTACCTGTGCTTGCCCCAAGGGACACGGGGAATAGCTCTCTCCACATCCTTCACCACCAAGACTGTGGTAGCTGCTGCCACAAGCCCCTGTACCATCAGTGTTTAACTCTGAAGACATACACCCTTGGAAGTCTACACTTGTAACTACTTTCATGAACCACTATAGTCAAGACTACTGAGGCAATCATAGACACTGCTGACATGAGTCAGAGATGTGAAAAATCACACAGAGGCTACACTTTTGAGAACACCTACAATCAAAGCCAAAGCATAACTGGCACCCCATGTCCCATCCAAATAAAAACAAAAACTGTTCCTAAGAAAGCTATCCCACAAAAGCAAAGAAGCAAATGTTATATCAAACGTGTAGAGATCAATGTAGGTACAAAGGAAACATGAAAGAAAACATGACACCTCCAAAGGAGAACAGTAACTTTGCAGAAATACATCCCAATTTGAAGGAAATCTATGAAGTGACTGAAAAGAATTCTAAATAATGGTTCTAAGGAAACTCAATGAGACATATGAGAACACAGACAATAGAAAAAAACAAGAAAAACAATTTAGGATACAAATGAGAAACTCATCAAACAGGTAGAATTCATTAGAAAATAAAATTGAAAGTTTTAGAGTCACAAACTTCAACTAATAAAATGAAGAGCTTCCAGAACAAACTAGAACAAGTAGAATTTCAGAATGAAGAAAGCTTATAAAATATATGGGATAACATTAAGAAAGGAAACATTCAACTTATCAGAATTGCAGAAAGCAAAGAAAAGGACAAAGGCATCGAAAAATGTGTTTCACAAAATAATAGCTGAAAGCTTCACAAATCTGTATGAACATCCAAATACAAGAAGTTCAAAAGATCCCAACTAGATTCAACCAGAATAGACCTTCACCAAGACATATGATAGTCAAAATGTCAAAAGTACAAAACAAAGAACTGTAAAAACAGCAAAAGCATTAAAGTCACATATAAGGGAATGCCCACTGTATTTACAGCAGACACCTCAGCAGAATTCTTACAGGCCAGAAGAGAATGAGATGTATATTCAAAGTCCTGAAAGAAAAAACAATATCAATCAAGAATACTACACCTAACAATATTGTCTTTCAGAAGTGAAGGAGAAATATTCTGTCTCCAATAAGCAGAAACTAAGAGAATTCACTATCACCAGGCTAGCCCTACAAGAAATGCTTAAGAGAATTCTAGACTAAAACAAAAGAATAACCACTGTCATTAAATCACACAAACATACTAAGCTCAATAGAA